AACGAAACTTGAAATATAGGTTTATCACCCTAAGGTCTCGGTTCCTTTCGATATTGGCATATATCGGACTGTAACTCCATGGATTATGGCCCTTGATTGTAAGAAAAATCACGTTTTTAGCTTGTAAACACTAGAGGTCACATTTTTTATCTGATTTGGTTTAAAGTTGAAATATTTGTTTATAACCCAAAGATCTCAGTTTCTTTCGATATTCGATATGGCCTTTTTTTTAGCTTGGGATCGCTTTAGAGGTCACAATTATTATCCGATTTAAAACACCCGTTTGAATGTATCACCGTTACATCGTAATGAAGGTTGAGTTCGAATTTCGTGAAAATCGGACCAAAACTGCCAGACAAAATGGCCGCCCCTTGTATGCAAATAGTGTAAACATCTGGTATATTAAGGTTGTGGACCTTCTGGAGGTCAAAATTTTGTGCCGATTTTGATGAAACATGCATGTTTATAACCCAAAGATCTTGGTTGCATTCGATATTCGCGCATATCGAATCGTAACTTCCAGAATTATGGCCCCTGATTTTACGAAAAATCGTGTTTTTAGCTTGTGGTCCCTCTGGAAGTCACAGTGGTCACTCTGGAAGTCACAGTTATTAACCAATCTAAAAAAAACGTATTATTATATCACCGTTACACTATTATGATGGCTGAGTTTGAATTTCATGGAAATCGGACCAAAACTGCCGGACAAAATGGCCGCAAGCAAATAGTGTAAATATATGGTATATCAAGGTTGTGGATCCTCTAGAGGCCACAATTTTGATCTGATTTTGATGAAACTAGGAATACATATTTATAACCTAAAGATCTTGGTTCCTTTTGATATTCGCGCATATTTGATGGTAACTTCCAGAATTATGGCCCTTGATTGTATGAAAAGTTGCGTTTTTAGGATGTGATCCCTCTAGATGTGACAATTTTTATCCGATTTAAAAAAAACGTTTGAAATATCACTGTTACACCCTTATGATGGTTGAGTCCAAATTTCGTACAAATCGAACCAAAACTGCCAGACAAAATGGCTGCCCCTCGTACGCCAATATTGTAAATATATGCATATGGTAGGGTGACCCACCATAAATAAATATCTCCATATATCTCGACAATTACGCCACATTATTGATATATATGCCAAGCCTCAAATCAGTTTCACACAATTATAGTCACTAAATAAACGATCATGTTGTACTTAATAAGCTATGACCATTAATCATCTACAAATAATAGACTGAAAACTGGTTCCAATTGTCGTCCATAACATCCAGACACTTTTGAGTAAAAGATAGGTTACGTGCCCTTGTTTTGAAATCAGTCTCGCTTAACCAGTCTATCGACCATTCTACGTCTGATTGACAGGTCGGGATAATCAAGACTACTTTTTTTACGAAACATAACAGAAAGCTAGAACAAGAAATTGAATTTAGAAATAAGCACGTTAGGTAGCTCAACAATCGTTTTAAGAACCTTGTAAAAGTAAAATGAAACTACTGCTAGTATCATGTTCCTGTCTAACCCGAGTGATTCAGAGATATTATTTGTACTAAACCAAAAGATGCCGCTCTTAACGGTACAGTTAATGATGAAGCGATTTAAAAAATGAAACGAACGTAATTTCTAAATCTGCTGTAATAACCAAGAAGCTTAATTTCACTGCTATTCAAAATCGTCAACAATAAATTTTTTACGGCTGTAATAGTTGATAGATTTGTAGAGAATTGCACGTGCCATGGCTATTTATAGTATCATACTGTCAGAAAGTTGGTCTCGGCACGGCGAATGTGTACGCTTCAGTGGTAGTCTCGAACGATCAGCAGTGGACTTTATTTCTGTAGTGTACATGGGCCACCCTACATATGGTATATCAAGGTTTTGGACCCTCTAGAGAGAGGACACAATTTTGATCCGATTTTAATGAAACTTGAAATACATGATTATAACCTAAAGATCATGGTTCCTTTCAATATTCATGCATATCGGATCGTAACTTCCTGAATTATTGCCCTTGATTGTACGAAAATCACTTTTTTTTTAGCTTGTTCTCTGCCCATCTCTTGCAAAATGTGGGCATATCTTGCATGGCAACCGCTTGTTTTAATTGTCCAATCAGTAGGTGCCCTTTCTATTCTATTTTATTTATTTTTACTAACATTGGCATGATCGCTATTTGTGAAGAGAAAAACTGTTTATCTGTTTGTCTGTCTGTATGTCCGTCAAACTTTTTGGGACACAATAACTCTCTTTCTAATTGAGTTAGAATGCTCAAACTTGGTGTAGGTGTTTATAAGGTCAATGCCTTGATGGAGTTCAAGGTGAGCATTTTCTGCTCAGGGTAAGCAAGAGATAAGCAATTTGATTGGTTGATGCTTTTTGACACGATAATTAAGCAAAAGTGATGAAACTTGGTGTATAGTTTCATTACATAATTACCTTGACTAAGTTCGATAATGAGTATTTTCTGCTCAGGGTAAGCTAGAACGTTCAAACTTGGTGTAGGTGTTCATTAGGTGAATGCCTTAATGGAGTTCGAAGATGGGCATTTTCTGCTTAGGGTAAGCAGAGATAAGCAATTTGATTGGTTGATGCTTTGGGACACGATAACTTTAGTTCTAATTAAGTGAGAGTGATAAAATTTTGTGAATAGTTTTATTACATCAATACCATGACTAAGTTCGATAATAAGCATTTTCTGCTCAGGGTAAGGAGAGCGATAAGCAATTTGATTGGTCAAGACTTTGGAACATAATAACTCTCATTCTAACTGAGCTAGAATGTTCGCACTTGGCGTATGTGTTTATTAGGTGAATGCCTTGATGGAGTTGGGACTTAGAATATGAGACTTTTCTGCTTAGGGTAAGCAGAGATAAGCAATTTGATTGGTTGATGCTTTGGGACATGATAACTTTAGTTCTAATTAAGTGAGTGTGATGACACTTGGTGTATGGTTTTATCACATCAATACCTTGACTAAGTTCCATAATACGCATTTTCTGCTTAGGGTAAGCAGAGTGATAAGCAATTTGATTGGTCAAGACTTTGAAACACAATAACTCTCTTTCTAGTTGAGGCAGAATGTTCAAACTTGGTGAAGGTGTTCATTAGGTGAATGTGTTCATTAGGTGAATGCCCTGATGGAGTTCGATGATAAACATCGTCTGCTTACGGTAAGCAGAGATAAGCAATCTGATTGGTTGATGCTTTGGGACCAATAACTTTGGTTTGAATTAAGTGAGAGTGATGAAGCTCTGAGTATAGATTCATTGTATCATTACCTTGACTAAGTTTGATGATGAGAATTTTCTGCTTAGGCTAAGCTAAGGATCGATAAGCAATTTGATTGGTCAAGACTTTGGAACATAACAACTCTGATTTTAATTGAGATGGAATGTTTAAACTTGATGTAGATGTTCATTAGGTGAATGTCTTGACTGAGTTCAATGATTAACAATTCAAGCTAAAGCTAAACAGAGGTAAGCAATTTCACATCCTCGGTAACCCAGTGTACTAATTCCGTTCTACTCCACTATACCCTGGGTTAATCTATGGGGGAGACACGTTTTCAAGTTATCCGCCCTTGATGATTCTGATATTTTTATCGACCAATCCCATAAATTGTTATTTGAAAAAGAAGTTGGCAAAGGTAAGTAACTCTCATCGGACAATGTTAGGAGTTGGCCTATTCTAAATGCGTAATTATTAACAACCAGTTATATATTATGTTAATGAATTAGTTTTATTTAGAATCGTTCGTTCGCTCCCGGGACTTTACGTCCACGTGATATCGTAGACAAGTTATTGTATGACATATTTCAGACAAAGAACGAATAGTAATTATAATAACAAAAGTCAAACATATAGATGTTATACATATTTGAAATCAACAACACATACTACAGATTTTGATAATACAATTAAATATAAATAAATTATAGATATATACATTATTTACATAAATCATTCAGTAAATAGACATGAATATGGTTATCTACCCTTATAAAAACGAAGGCGAAACGATTGGTTTTTAAACTGTTTTCTGATTGGTTCGTAGACTGTAGCTCTACATTCTAGGCCAGGGCAGATAATTTAAAATTGTGGAAACCCTATGGATTAACCCAGGGTATAATGGAGTAGAACAGAATGAGTACACTGGGTAACATGGAAATTTCATTGGTCGATACTTTGGAACAAGATAACTTTGATTCTATCTGATAGAGAGTGATGAAACTTAGTGTATAGTTGATAATCAGTTTGATTGCTTGATACTTTTGAAAAAAAAATAAATGTGCGATTAATTAATATGTGTCATCTATTTTATTTGGGATTTCGGCGGGGGACATCAGCCTCACTGTTGGCTTGTTATTTAATATTTATTGGAAATTTTCAAATACCAACTGGTTCAAATGAACCAAGAACAAAACTAGGAATATTACTCAAGTTAGTCCTACATTTAGCAGCAATGTAATATCTAAGTAATGTTATCGATCATTTTTTTTGACGTACATCAGGCACAGTAACAGACGATAACACTATCATTGCTCAATAGTAGATTGCCATGGCATTGAAAATTGTTCATTTTACACACTGCTTCGATTTACATGTATCTATGGATGAAGGTCAGATTCAACTTATATCCTGTAAAATGCAATGTCCCTTCTAGTTTGATGTTTCTGCTTCGTTTGAAAATTTGATGCAGAAAAATTCTTTATACTCTACAAGAGCTATAACCATGTTCCTAAATTCAGATGTTTGAGGAAACCTATGGACATTCTGAGTTATGTTACAATTTATCCCCAACTTTGAAATATTGTAAATTCTCTATACATGTCTGTGTTTTTGAGATTTTTTACCAAACTTTGCTGGAATTTTGAAAGTTGCCCTTTATTTTTTTGTGAACTTATTGCTGTTGACCAAAATGGTTTCTACAATATTGATGAATGTTTATATTCTTAATTGCATCGTAGAATATTTTCTTTTATAATAGATTTGTATTGTTGATCCACTGCAAGATATTAGATGGAAAAATCTGAAAGTTCATGTTACTACAGATGCAGTCCATGCTAAAGATAGACTGAATTTCAATTCTCCTGATCAAGGTAATATATTGAATTATAATTTCTCTACCTCAAGCCACTAGTTACTGAAAGCTGTTTTAATCTGTGATCAATATAAATTATTTGATAATATCATAAATATGAATTTATCATAAGAAATAAACATATGTCTAGATATAATGTCAATTTCATTTGGGGATCAGCTTGGGTTGTTTATATTATGCCAGTTAGACCCGATTGTCTTTGACAAATTGCTTAGAACCCATAATTCAATTATACACACTATAGAACTGGCATGTTTTTCCTAGATTCCTTTTTATATGCCCACATTTCAGTATGGGCGTATTATATCGTTACCCGATCTGTCCTTTCGTCAAAAGTTTGTTGGTGAATGGGATAGAGTCGACAGTTTTCAACAGATTGTTAAAAAATTTAGTGTGAAGCTTTGAAGTTATCAAAGAACAAACCATATTGATATACAGTGTTCCGCAACCTGTCATGTTGAATTAAAAGTAGAAAAGAGTAAAAAATGAAATTTTTACCCAAAATGGATACTTTTGGGTTGAAATCTATAACTTAATGCTTCGTACCTGAAAAAACTTCCACCTTAACTTTACGACATCAGAATTCTGCTTTCTTTGACAGAATTTCTACTTCAGAATTTCTACTTACATTTTGCTACCACAAAGTTTCTCCAATAGAATTTCTTGTATCGACTAGCATATTACAGAAATAAGTTAGATCCCATGACAACTTTAAAATATGGCGAACGCTTATCGATGATGATAGGTCTCAATACCCTCATGTTGGTATAATCAAAACAATTCTTTACCTTTTTGCCTTCGCTTTTGTTTGATTTTCCCCTTGAAATTCAGTCATTAGCGGGTTACATTTAGAGACCAGATAATCGAAAGTCATTGTCCAGATACGAATTGCGGCTGTAATAATATTAGTTAGTTTTGATTGAATAATAGAAATGAAAGTCAATTGTTGAAGTTTTCTGTGTTTTTCGATTCCAACCTGGCTGCTGAAACCTCGCTCGAAAGAAATTTGACATGGTTCAACGCGACGGATGGGTTTTCAAGTGATTTAAAGTATTTCTGACAAGCGAGAGCTGGGAATTTCTATAAAGTTGGTACTACGACAAGATCCTCGTTTTGAATAGAAATAACTACCATGCAGTTGTCAATTTGATTGTTGTTCAAGCCATGCCGCCTAGTATGAAGCAAATTTTTTAAGATCAGTAGAGGACACAGATTGTCAGTGAAATTTCAAAGTGTTGATACCTAAACTTATTCGTCTGAAGGGGAACTTAGACAGGGGTCTCGATAACTTTTCGAACTTGATTAGAAGAACTGCTAATCAAGTTAGATAAATTCAGGCAAATTGATTAGCAATGTCCAGTTTTGATTAGCAGTGTGTGAATATCCATTGACTACAATTTCGGAAAGCTGTGAAGTAAAATCTATCTGTTGAATTTTGCAATATTATGCAAAGGTTTATTCAGTCCCATTATTTCAAAATTATTGTTGTAAATAGTTTAATGTCTGCTCATTGCTGTGTATCCTCTCTCATGACACGTAGTAGGCCTATCGGTATAATTTCGATGACATTTCTGGGTTGATTCGTCTTTTGAACATACAATATTCATAACCATGTCATTTGTTGACATAACAGCCATTCACTCGTCAGTGCTGATATCAATCAAATAATATTTTACGTGTCGATGCATCAGGATCTAACATCGCCATCGGTCATCGCTGTTGTCAATCGAAAATTCCCTGCTGCAAATATCCGTTATAAATTCGTCATTTAGTATCCGCATTAATACTCGTGCCTATCTTTGTTATATATTCCATAATATCTATCCCATTTTGTGAAGAAAATCAATGGATTATTTTTATTTTATCAAAAAAAAAAAAACCAATCAGGGGGATGTAACTCTGCGCATATAGGGGGCGCTAAAATTTTGCTTTTACCAGTCATAGATATTAGATTCTAGATGATCGTGACTAAACTTGAGAAGAAATGTTGAAAAATCGTTATAGAAACTGTCCACAACTATTTACAGTTTAAAAGGGGACATAAAATTGTCCATGTGAGAAATAAAAGAATCAATATTTATGATTAGCATTTGTGCGAATCAAGTTAGCTATTTTGTGGCAAATTGATTAGCAACGGGCAAGAATTGATTCGCAAAGTGCGATGCGAATCCAGTTATCGAGACCCCTGAACTTAGAAGAAAAGACTCAAATAATTTTGACGTATGATAAAGAATCTTGAATTCAATAGACGAGATTATAACCGAAGAAATTGAAGAAACAGATCTGTGTAGGGAAATGATTCAGTCAGCTTTACAAAGAATTGAATCAAGCTGCGAAGCATCACCAGTATATTTATTAAACGAAATTAAAGCTCAGGTACAAGTAGAGCCTAACACCCATGAACATAACACAACCCTACCATGCCATGAAGCAAGCCAGGGTAGTAATTTAAATAAAAGTGTTATATCAACTGATCCAGCACATGATGTCCCTGTCAGTGATAACCACCTTCCTTGGAAAACAAATGCTCACCCAAGTTACAGCAAAACACTCGAGTTACCAACATTGGAACTTATGAGGTTCGATGGGAATTTAGCGAATTGATAAACCGTCTGGACACCTACGAAAACAAGATACATAACTCAAATCTAGTGACCATAGAAAAATATACCTACCTAAATTCCTTGATACAAGGATCTGTAGCAGATGCATTAGCAGGCTTTCCTCTGACTTCTGAGAATTATGCGGAGGCTGTTGATATATACTAAACAACAAAAAAAACATAATTAAGATTTTAAAATCAGAGGCACTTTAATCAAATCATTCTAGAAAACGACTTACTAAATGGATCAAAGTAATTTTTTGTGAACTGTATATTGACACATTATTGATTAATTCATCACAATTCCAAGACATTACGAGAAGGTTTAGAGTCTGTACACAGCCTAACATCCACCGCGAGTGTCAATAACAGTAGCACAGCATCTGTATGTGGAGTGGACCAGACGATTGAGGAACGCCATTGGCACCTGGAACCACACTCAGAAAAGCCTGGCGCAATCCATCGGGTGTGTTTGGTCTCGGTACGACTTTATTAAGTCTCCTCTGAATTTCAATCAGGTTTAAGTCCGGACTAAGGGCTGGCCAGTGCATAACGTTGACACCATTCTGCTGTAGAAAGTCCCGAGTAACTGTGGCGGTGTGGGCACAGGCATTGACATGCTGGAAAACTTTGTTTCGATGACATACGAAATGTGGTGTGACGTGGGGTCTGAGAGCTTGATCGATGTAGCGCACTGTTGTGCTGCCGCCTTCTCTCCCTGGACCAAGATTTTGGAACACCACAGGACCCACTCTCTGGTTCAGGTCGATTCCACCCCAAACCATTATGCTTGGACCTCCCCATGAGTCTCGTTCCCTGACACATTTGTCAGAATAATGCTGGCCACGTCGACGCCATATTCTAGTCCTGCTATCTGCAGTTGACACGGAATACCGACTCTCATCTGTGAACAGAACAGTTCTCCATTGCCTGTGTCGCCAGTTCTAGTGTTGTTGGGCAAACTGTAGACGTTCACGTCGATGACGAGGGGTGAGGATCGGTCCACGGTAAGGTCTACAGCAATGGATGTTCTCTCTGGTGAGACGTCGGCGCACTGTATCGGTACTGATGGGTCTTCCGTGTGTTCCAACTGTCTGACGTGCTGTCTCAGATGACGCTTATATCAACATGATGTCGTAAGAAGACGCTGTGTACCCGATTTCAGAAGCTGTCACATGATATCATTTATTTTTGTAATATTCATTTTGAACCTGATACCCCTCTATGGTCTGATGCTTTTCAGAACAGATTTTGTCAAAACTTATCTTGACAGATTATGCCATAATTGACCTTGTTTCAAATGTCTCATAATAGGACTGAGGAACAACAAGAATCTGCTGTTATTTCATCACCTGGTTTATAGTTTTATATTCTCTTCCCAAAAAAGGGCGGGATATTCAGAAATAATACAAAACTGCAGAAATGCACTGCTGTTTTATTTGAGGTAACCAGTGTATGTTAACAACAGGCCAGTTGCCTTCACATGAACAACAGTACGCATGGGCGGCTTATCTGACGGCCCCATTTCACTCGCAAAGAGATACACTGTCAAAAGTGAAAATGGACGTTTTTGATTTTTGTCTTAATAATGAGTAATTGCTTCACCAATCCTCAGACATACATCAATTCGTCGTGGCATGATCCTAATCAACCGTCCAATCACGATTTGGGGCAATCTGACCCACTCCTCTTGCAGTGCCACGGCTAATTCTTGCAGTGTTGACATTGACGTCGACGAACACGTCTTCTGATCAAATTAATTGTAACACACTAAAGCAAAGATATGCTAAACAGTAAATCTTATGCAAGAACTGATAGGAAAGCAAACATGTAAGATAAACCAGCAAACGGCAGTTTTCATCAACCCTTCCTTGAAGTGTCAAATTTGACAATGAACCCCTCCCACGTGTATGGCGCTATTGCGTGTCGCATGTGCAGCTCAGTGGTTCTGTTGGGGGCGATAAGTTCTTCATCTGGGAAAATACTCTCAAAGCATGTCAAGTGTCCATGACTATTTATCATATGACAACCTGCAAAGGTATTTCCATTTCAATATCCCCTACTTTTTTTGAAGAGTATATTTTGAGCTAGTTTGATTTGAATTCTTTATACAGTACAAGAGCTATGACCATGTTTCTATGTTCTGACCATACCATACCAAAGATATAAGTGTTGAAATAAAATTTCTAATATAAACAGCAGAGATACATTTTAATGTAATAAATGGACAAATTGGTTTACGGCCGGTACACAGTTGGTTAATGATACAAGAGATATAAAATATAAAATCTCTAAAAAATCTCATTTTACTACCTTATACATACATGTACCTCAAACCCCAATAAATCTATAAATAATGTTTTATTAATAATTTAATCAGTTGATGACACCTGTGT